CACTCGCCACCGCCTCCGTCAGAACATGGCTTCCTCGGAACTCACCATGGAGGAGTGCGTCCCGTCTCCCGGCACCCCAGACTCGAGGAAGAGGCCCTTAGACATCGACTCTGACGATGCCATATCCAAGAGATCACACTATATACCTGGTAAGTGTTAAAATAGAATTGATTCCACATGGCGCGCGGAATCCCTGGAGGAAACGAATATTAAGCGGTGGTTTCGCAGCCTCGGCCCCTCTCGGCCCCCGCGAACCACGGGACAAATCTGCCGCTCCTCTCGAAAGTAAACCCCCGTGGCACCTCGGGGGCGTTGCTCGACACACCCTGGGGTCCTTAGAGTCCGAGGGCACGCAGGGGCAAGAGAGGCTGCGAAGGGCAAGGCCGTAGGAGAGGGAAATAGGAGGTTTTGGTGTGACGGCGGTAGGGAGGGATGGGGGTTGATGGCGTTCGATAAGGGGGGTGGGGGGAGACGCCGCCACGCTCCTCTAACCTCGGCTGCGCTTGCGTCTTCTCCCTCTCTCTCTCTCTCTCTCAGTCGCCTTTTCTCTCTCACCTATTATTCCTGTCCTCTTTGTCCGGGCTTTCGTGGGGTTGGGACGGGGTGGGTTACGGGAGAAGGGGTGAGGGAGGGGGAGGAGAGGCAGCGGAGGGTGCCCACCGTGGGCTGAAGGGGTTGAGTATGGGGTTTGCGTTTGTTTATGTTGTCATGCAGGTTGCATTGCATGACTGGAAAATTTTGAGGTGCAGCAGTTCTCGTGTTGGGATTTTCCGACGGGGTCAGTCCCTTCCTGTTGCTAGGGTGGGTGGCCTGGGGGGAGGAGAGGGGGGTGTGCATGGAGAGAATAGGTGAGGGGGGGGAGTAGCAGTAGTAGCTGGGGGGGCATAGGGGGATGGGGGTTTGTGGGGCCATGGGGGTAGGGTTGGGTTGAGGTCAGCATTTGCAGAGGCATGCAAAGTGCATGAGGTGATGTGCAGTTGCAATTAATTGCAGACTTAAGGATGTTAATCATCAGAATTTGCCTTAGTATTAAGTGTTGCTTGTACTGGCTATCATGCACTTAATATGTTGAATGAATTTATATGTATGTGGTATGATAATTAGAATTTTTGCTAAATCATGTACTGTAATAACTTCATCCTGCACACTGCAGTCCATCACTAATGTTAATGCGTGGGTGTGGTTAAGATCTTGAGTATATTAAGCATTATATGCACCAGTTCAAATATATCTATGAAATAAAAGAGAAAAAAACTTCAATTTTCATTTGATACCAAGCTCTTCAGTGATGATAATATTAATTTTGCAATTTGGCACAAGTTTTGAGCTTAGTACTTTTTGAATGATAGTGGTTGAATGTCCTTAGTTTTTTTTTTCTATGCAAAGGATGGAGTTTCATGTTTCTATGGATTTTGGCATATTTGAGGAAAAGTTAAGATTTGATGGGTATTATGAACAAAATGTTTACAGCTTTGTTGAAATACCATAGTTTGGCCAGTTTCAGGAAAGACCAAAGTAGTAAATCAATTTAGACTGGAGTACTCCAATTTATCAAGTCTCACGTTTTCAGATCCCGTTACTTTGATATTTAGTCAAATTTATTTGTTTCTTAAAGTATGCATGGAATTATTTATTTGGTCAGTATGTAGATTCTTGATGTTTTTTGTGCAAATGCTTCATTGTGGAGATCTGAGTACCACTTCTATTGACAACCTTGATTTGTTAGTCCTGATAGCAGGGGAGGGTATGAAGTATATCAGGGAAATTGTGTGGTAAAACATGCTTAAATAGAAAGAATAGCTAACAAAAATGCATAAAACTAATAATAAAAATGCTAAAAGTTGGCTAATGAAACTCTACAGACATACCTGCCATCTTTGAAAGTATATGCACCGACACGCCAAAAATAGAAAAACTTATGGGAATCCAACGCGAATCCAATCCATCTTTCGGCTAAATCTACGGGTTTTCACTCAAAAAAAAAAAAGTCATGATCCATAACCCAAACTAACCTAGCAATTAATGGTGCCATGACTAGGTGTGCTACATAATGATTAGGAAGAAATATGGTCTCTATCACAATATCTTTCTAGGAAGTAATTGATTTTTTCAAGAGTTGCCGAGATGATATCACCAAAATTTTTCAAGGGTACGTGATATTAACTCATTTGATCTAGGTGCCTTGCCGACGCTTTGGCCAAAATCGGAACATTTTTCTTATGTAAGTGGTGTAACTCCTCGTTGTGTGGCTTGTAGGCCTGGCCCATGTAAACAGTTGTATGCGGTTTCAGGACTCCTTTTTCCCCCTTGCCGTATTTTTATTTCTTACTAACTACATATTTCTGCCTATTCTTTCTCATGCTATTTCCCAAGGTCCATATTTGTCATTTGATATGCCTTATCTAGATGGTAATAGACTGTTTTCCATACACAAGACACCATATCATGTTAGGTCTGCTATGAATCTCTCCAATAACAATAAGTAATTTTGTTATGACATTTGAATAATAATTTCATAATATTCACTGCATCATGGGCCTACAGTCACTACAAAAGGTTATGAACCTCTATATAGAATCTGGTAAGGATGAGTAATATACTGTTTATGGCTGACTCTTTATTTCTGAGAGTTTACACATGAGTATGAATAGAACCTATGAGATGTAGGCGCTGGTGATACCTATAGCCCCAAGCCCTAGTGAGGGCGCAGCTGTGCAGAGGGTGAGCAGTCTGGTCAACAGGTTAGCTTCTGTCTCGGTGGGAACTGAGGGAGAGGTCAAGTTGGGTTAGCTTGTATCTGACCAGCAGGCGCAAGTGATGGCATGGGGCCGTGTGCAGAAGGGGCTGTGTGTACCACGCATGGCCTCTACGTGGTATGTTGGTATGCTGTAATCATTATGGGCTGGAATAGGATTCTGCTAGAGATGACACACTTCAAGTCATGGCAGTCATGGCATATTAGTGGTACATTCCACTGGTGAAAATAATGCCAAAGCCCCTTCCACCCTCCAAGAGTTTCATGGACTAATGGCAAGTCTTTCCCATCACTGCAACCTTCAGCCAAAATTCTCATGGGTGATAGTAATGATTCACCAGGAGATATTGTTGCCGAGTGGCAGGTGATGGGAACGTCTCACCCTGAATACACAAAGCTCTTAGAGGAAGCTTGGAATCATGGGGCATTTAGGAAGGGGCACTTGCATTCTGTCTATTGGTAAACAAAAGTGGAATGTACCATTTGTTAGCTATGGCTGGAGATTGCTGGCTCTAGGGAGAACACAATTTCCAAGCTCAGGATCCTGTTCCTACCCCTGGTGGCAGACAGTGCAGGGTATGTTACAGAAAATTGAATGAAACCGGTAACACAATGTTTCTTATTGTAATTGCATAGTTGTACACTACCTCTAGAGAAATGGAGCTGGCTCAGTGTAATCAGTCTATTACCATCTTGATACTGTATTACAAATGACAAATATAGACCTCAGAAAGTGGCAAAACAAATAAAAACACTTGCATAATAGCACTTCAAAGAGAAGCAAGGCAAATTGATACCACGTGTGTTCATGTGGGATATGTCCGCAAACCATGATAGGCCAGATTTTGGTGTGTGAACTGTGAGGCACCTGTATCAACGGGGGTAAGAGAAGTGGAAGATATGATTCTTGTAATCATAATTTATGATTACTCAAGATTTGGCATTCCTGTTATTACTCCAGTAATGACGGGTGTCCTGAGACAAACACCTGAAAAAATAAACATTGCCGGGCGTCCTGCCAGTGTGATGCTGTATCGGGGCTCGTACTACGACACAGCCACGCGTGTAACCACCAGGAATCTTTTAATTACGGCTTCAAAATATACTGGCGGCAATGTCTTTTAATAATTTTGATAGGATGCCTTTTATGCCTCTCAAAATGGGACTTTTTCCTAGAACCATAAAGGATGAGGTGAAAGGTGGTTTGATGCAGAAATTGTGGAGGGGCATCACTACTAGCATTTTATCCAAAGCCCTCATTTGAGGGACTTGTAGGCCGGGTGCACACAAATGCTCATGTGTGATGTCAAGACTCTGCCTCCCTTTTTTCTGTATAAGCACTTATTTGCCATTTCCCAGTGTTAATATTCGTTATTTGTTAAGCTGTATTCAGATGTAAATATACCATTTTCCTTGCAACAACTCCATATCTCTCAAGGTAGTCCTTAAGTTTATGTAATGATAATGAAATAATAATATTATTATTATTATTATTATTATTATTATTATTATTATTATTATTATTATTATTAAGTAACACTTAGTTATGTTCCATTTTCTTATTTTTTTGTAATATTAAATTATCTGGAGAACAACCTGTGCCCGGAGATCAAAGCAGGCTGGAATAGGATCCTGAACCTGGAAAGAATGTTCTCCCTGGAGCTGTCTCTCTTCCGGTTATGGCTCATAGATGGTATATTCCACATTTTACTGACAGGAATAATGCAGTGACCCTTCCTAAATGCCCACTGAGTCTATTCACCTAAGATTTGTGCTTAGGGCAAGTCATTCCTGTCACCCCAGCCCTCAGCTGAAATTCTCATGATCGTATGTTGCCATTGTGCAACCCTCAGCCAAATTTCTCTAAGAGCAGATGATCATGTTGCCCAAATGGTAGGGTTTAGCCCAGTGACACTGGGCCAAAAACTTTGCTATCAAGCACTTTCCTTGGGAACTGTTGGAATATTCTGCTTGGCCTTTGCTGTGTGTGGCTGGCCCGACTAGCCCACCATAGAATTATGACAATAAGAGCTATACTAAGCTTGTACCTGCCTCATAGCCAAGATGCTGTATGACAGCCATTCCTGAGGTTAAGCAAAAAAACAGCCAAATTCTTATGTATTTGCCCAGATGAATATATCAGAAGAAAGTGAGTTGCGATTTGGTAATCTAAAGATGAAAATGTAGAAAATGAAACAAGAACCACCAATCCTTTGTGGGGATCCTGTGGTATATTGGTACAAGTTGCCCAGCATCCTTACCTCTGATAATATTTAGTATAAAAGTCCCTAGGTGATAGTTGTATGGTCAGAACCTATTTTGAATGGTACGATCTAAGGTGTATGGTCAAAAATCATATGGTAAAATATTTGAGAGCTGCAATGACACGAAAGTGATTGCTATGGCCTATGTCTCTGGCAAAAGCAAACCAATTTCCACCTCAAGCATTCTGGCATAATATAGCTAGACCTTCCTGGCAAATGCAGTTTAAGGGGGCGTCATGCCCAAGAACAAAGTTCGTCAGTTGTGATTGGATATTCGAGATTTTTTAATATGTTATACATAAATATAAAGTGATAAACACTAAGTTTCATATCATTCGGCCAATAAATAATAAAGTTATTAATAAAAACAAGTTTTTGAACAATCACAGCCTCTTAAAAATGGCAATTATCCTTTGAACAAATTTGTTGAAAAAAATTACCACCTAGAGTCTATAGCAATACCTATAATTTGCAAAGACCAGAGTTTTAAATTTCGTTTTAGTTTAGTTTCTTTAAGAAAATCATCGCAAATATATTCAGCTTTTAAATGATCCAAACCCCATAAGAATTGCCCAATTATTTATGGATGAATTTTTAAAATGCTGACAAATATTGCCAAGAGTGTAGTTTTGAGATAACGGGTTCAGAAATTTTAGATTTCCCTCCCCCCCCCCTGAATTCTAATCTCTGCGGCAATCTTGCTGCATTCTATTGCGTTCACATGGTATTCTGAAGTGTAGCTGGTACATGGTCTCCCCTTTTGCAAAGTACTAATGGTATTAACTGCAAATGATTGTAGAAATTCCCGTTGGAGCACATGGTTTGTAAGGCTTAACCTGACGACGTGAGGTATTTAAATGTATAAACAACTGCTGCAGCTGTGATTTAGAAGTATTTCCTATCATATTACGTCTATTATATGCTAATCTAGCATCTACAATTAATAGTGCACCCTTACTGTATGATGAGGCCGTACGTCTGTGGTATGGTGACATGGAGCTAGGAGCTGGCAACCTTTCTCTGATTTTCTGGTGGAGTTTAGTCTCCCAGAGCCGCAGTCTTTGTGATCAGCTGATGGGTAAACAGAGTTGCCAGCTAGCTACCAGAGAATTCCAAAATAAACCAAAAAAAAAAGAAAAAAGAAAAAAAAAATAATAATAAATTTTCACGGATGCGACAATGTAAACATTGGAGGGGGGCGGGGAGGCAGAGATTTAGTTATAACTCCTTTAATTTTACATATTTAGCACAAATATTACATCACAAGATTGCCAAAGCCCACTAGATTACAGGAGATAAAAAAAAGTATTTTTTAAAATTTCGTTGCGACGGCCCCCTTAACCCATTGGCGCTGGGTGTCACGTACGTACATGCCATGGCTGTTGTGGACCAAACACCAGGGGCATCATGCCATGCCCATTCCCGCGCTACTGGCTCGTCGGACGGAGGTTGTTTTTCCCCAGTAGTAGCGGCTTCATTTATATGGTAAAGATTTTAGGCAATGGCACCTAAAGTGAAGGTAAACCTTTAAAATTTTAATATTTTGATAAATTTTAGCAAAATAAAAGCTTTTAGGTGCTATTATGTCGCTCGCAAACTACCGATCAAGGCGGGCGCAAACAGGGGAAACTGCCGGTGCGCGCCAACAAGCCAGTGCATACGTAAACTTGCCAAAAATTTTACCTGTTGCTGATGGGTTAAATTCCGTTTTGCTGAATAGGAAAGTTTTGTTGGTTTTTGCTGGAATTTTAAAGGCTAATAGACCATAGCAGATACTTGGGACTCTGCAGACATATTGGTAGGTTTTATCTTTCGAGTTTTGGCTGGAAATCCTAAAAAAATATGAAGTAGAGTGCCATCGTCACTTGTCACTGCAGCTATCTCTTATTCTGCCTTCCATGTAATATAATAATTAGTTTTTAATAATTCATTTTTAGTTATAGTAACATAGTTTGTGTAGGTTGTACATTATCTAGTAGCGAGTACATTAATTAAGGTAACATTAACTAAAAAGCTTCAAGTTAGAGTATGAAGTTCATGATCCTTAACCTGATTACTTCTTCTATTACTGATGCTGTCTGTCTGTGTCTGTCATTTGAGAATTTGAGATTGAGATATAACTTGGGATGAAATAGTTGTACTCATATCAGTAACATTTGAATAGACCTAGTGGGTTAGATTTGATGTTTAACTGCTTCGATGACATAAAACTCTCTCCACTAGTAGACGAACCTCTTGGAGTTTGATTTATTTTGCTTTTAGGAAGAGGCTTTTGCATTATGTCCATGAGCCATGACTGGAAGAGCACCAGCTCAAGGGAGGATGCCATTTCCATGCTCAGGATCCTATTCTTAGCCGCTGTGTACTGGGGGTCCATGTTGTATTACAGAAAATTGAAGGTTACGAAAAATGTAAAAAGTGGCAAACAACGAAATGTTACATACTTTTATATGTTTTACACTAAGATATTTACTATCTAGAGAGATTATATGGAGTCTGAGCAAGGTAAATGGTCCATTACCATCTGTATGAGGCACATCAAATGACTGATATGGATATTGGAAAATGGCTAAAAAAAAAAAAAAAAATGCTTATAAAGAGAAAATGATATTGTAAAGGGGAGGCATAAGTCTTGTCACTGCACATGAGAGATTGTGTGTGCCCTCCCTACAAACTGTGCACCCATCAGAGCAGCTTTTCACGTTAGCCTAATGCCTGTAATTTGGTCCATGTGATTGCTGTGAAGCAACTAGATCCAAGGGTTAAATGCACATTTGCAGTGAGGGCCAGGTCTCGTATAGCCTCCTGGTAGCATTCTTGGCAAGCAGCATGCTTTTGGCAGTACCAAGAAACTTTCATTACATGAAAGTTGGATAGTAACGGAGTATGAACATTAAAATATCTTTATACCAAAATATTTCTGTCGTGTGTAGGTAGGTATTACCAATGTTTTCTTTATTTAATAGGTCTTTTATAGCTACTTATCTGCTTTACCAAAAAAGTACCCATATGTATATATTCTGAAAATTATCATAAGCTATTACCTGATTCATTCATGTGTGATGTAAACATGCAAAATTGATGCCACTACACTACAAAATAAGAGCCACATACTTGCATTAAATAGAAGAAACATAAGTTCAATTTTAACAGTTTCAAAAGTATTTCAAATGATAGATGATCTTATAATTGATATGTAACACTAACCCCTGGTTAATTGAATAGCAATATGAATAATTTTAATGAATATGAAATGGAGCAGTTAAAATTATATTAATCATAATATTTCTACCCCAAGCAGACATGCAGAGTGACGGAACATACCACCTCAAAATCCTTGTCCCAAGCGTGGCAGCTGGTGCCATAATTGGCAAGGGAGGTGAGACTATTGCTCAACTCCAGAAAGATACAAATGCCCGAGTCAAGATGTCAAAGGCAAATGATTTTTACCCAGGTGAGTGTTTTATGTTCTTATTTTTGTGTGTGAAAAGTTTAGCATTATTGCTGTTGAAAGTTCTCCTTGTTTCAGTAACAACAATGTTGAATCTTGTTGTCTTATTCTGTTTGTCTGAAGCACGATTGTTTTTGTTTGCTATGAAAGATATTCTATACATATTAGAAAGAAAAAACACCAAATTACTTCTTTTGTGTGTGTTTGTCTTTACACAAGTATATACACCTATTGTTAACCTCAGTTTGCAAGTTTCAAGTTAGTTACAAGTTAGGATTAGAATTATTTTGCTTATAGATATATTAATGTTTAGAGCTGGATCTGAACTAGAATCAGTACCTCTAGTGGTTAAATAATGGCTTACTGTGGTTGAAATTTATGGCTTATAAAGATCTGAATGACCAATTTAGTTTTTACTGTTTCCATGGTTTGCAAAATTATCTTTGAAATGATTTCTGGAGTATGACATAGATAAAAGTCCAATGATTCTCATTTGCAAATATATGATTGATCCTATTTTTGCAAGTGTTCAAAACTAGTCCTCATACTGAGGAAATATACATTTTTTCTTTTTTTATTATGTAGTTATTTTTTATGAATAGCTATTATGCATATACATGTTTTCTCAGCAGGTAAATTATTTGAGACCATGATTATATGACTTCATCCATTACATATTAGTCTTCATGTAAATCGTTTCCTTGCCATTGCTTGAGCATGCCTGCGAATGTTTTGTTGACAAGGGCAAGGGCTTAGCTTCTTTCTTTTTGTTGTGTGAGCATGTTCTGTGTGACTAGTCTCACACATTTGGTTTATATAGATGCTATACAAGAGTGGTGATTGGGAGAGTGGACATGGAGAACTAAGCCTGGCATCTTGTATATGTTCCAGATGTTGAGAGATAAAAGATTATGAAGGTGATTATTATTATTGCAGTCTACAACTGCAATTAAATGGAAAGAAAAAGAAAGAGATAGGCTGACACTTATAGCATTGTTTTTCTTTACTTCTTTTTCCAGTGCTGAACTTGATTTTTAACATTGAAACTGCATTTTACTGCAAATAAAACTGAATAGGGAATTGAAGATTAACCTTTTAAATACAAGGTAAACTTGTGATTCATAGATAACAAAAGGGTTTTCCTTATATAGTTCAAAACTTTAAGCTGGACTCCAAGAACTCACTCCCTTGGAAGATTGTGGTCCAACTGAAAGTAGGAAATGATTCAGGGCAAAATAAGGACTACTCCCAAGATTAGGCAGTGGGAAAGAGTCCATATTTGCAATGACACCAATTCGGTTAACTCTATGGTGACAGTCCATATTTGCAATGACACCAATTTGGTTAACTCGATGATGACAGAGCCTGAATTTTTTTGTGTTGTATTAAGTAACAGTCTACTTTGAGGCTAGGCCTGCTGGCTCATCCATTGTTAGTCATGATGCCTATATACATCATAGGCCAGCACATCATGATGCCTTTAGCTGTACCTGCCACTGAAAAATTAACTGTGTAAAAGGAGATGTAGTGTTTTTTCAGCTCATGGGTGAAATATAGCACACAGTAATTAGTTACAGAATTGGTTAGCCTAAGCTTTTTGTGTGTATCTGCACATTGACTGAACCTCAAAGACCCTCACATGCTGCTGAACAGAGTTTCATCTTTTGTTCTATTGACCTGTAGATAGAAACCACTGATTCTTATTAGTAATATTACTTGCCTTGATTGAACCAGACTGACTATCAGCAGAAACTGCTTGTATAATAAAGTCAGATTGTGCTAACATGAGGGCACAAGCATAATTAAACGTCATTTTATGTTGATTGGTGAGATGGAAGTTTTTAACAATCATTATCTAGGAAAAAGGATGTGCGCCATTTGATGGTTCTTCTACAACAGACTAGCAATGCATTCATACATTTTCTACACATTTTTTGCAGCCCATTAGCATATTATATAAAAGTACATATACTTTTTAGGCCGATTAATAATCATTTTCAATTTTCATCCAGAGTATTTAATGATTACTATATCCCAACTTATTTATGGAATGTGGTTATCTATCAGCTCTGTAACAGCAGAGTTGGAAAGATAGGACCCATAAAGAGTTTTCCCTTACTGCCACATGCTAAGTGCTGCATGCAGAACCTGTTCAGGTAAAAGATTGAAAGCACAGGAAACATGCCTTCCCTGCTTGGAATAATTGTGGCTGCAACACACATGACCATTTAGGAAGTCAGGCTAAAAAATGGCATTCCAACCTGGCAAGAATAGATGCTATCCATCATAACTGGACGAGGCTCTGAAGTCAGTTTATCATTAGTGACTTTGTATGAGGCTTTATTGGATGGTCTTGTAAAATAAAAATCAGTGAAGTGTTCTGAATTTTATTATTATGTATAGTCATGATGAAAAAGCATCTGTAGTTAAATCACCCCCCCCCCCCAGAAGAAATGCATTATCAATATAATTCTGGTATTTGAACACATTTATGATAATAGTTTTTCATTGCAGTTATATGACTTTGTTTACCAGTGATATTAAAGTTTTTCTATGTATATGAAAATTGTTCTTGAGTGCACAGTTTAAGGAGTTTACTTTTTACAGGTACAACGGAGCGCGTTTGTCTGATCACAGGCAACGTGGATGCCATCTTGACAGTCTTGTCATTCATAATGGAGAAGATAAAGGAAAAGCCAGATCCCAATGCCAAGCCAGCCATTGACTTTGATAATAAACAGACAGCAGAGAGAGAGAAACAGGTAAATGGACTTTGAGTTTTGTTCATACCAGAGCTGGTTACTACCTGGTGATTTGTTCATTGCTGCAGTATTTAAACTTAAATGTTGGTAATCTTGCACAAAGAGCAGCAACACATAATAGTGCTCAGGTCCCCCACTATTCCTCAAGTTTCAAATTGATGTTTTCACAGTTATTGTCTTCAAACTTAGAAGCAAACTTTATTTGATGGACAAATGTACATTTTGAGCATTATAGTATTTTTTCCTCGTCTTTATTGGTTCGTCTTGAATCTTTTATCAACAGTTTATTTGAAGTCCACTTTGTCATTGAAAAATGAATAGATTAATGCATGAAAAGTTTTGTTTAGAAGACACCCTGCATTATCCCCTTTAGTTTTATTATTTTGTTTTTGGTTTTGTTTAAAACCATGCATTTATTGCCAAAATGTAGCCCAATGCCTATTTCTGTAATAATTTCAATGAATTATGTATGTAACTTGGTAACTTCTCATAATTGCCAGGGAATTCCCTGGCAATAAAAAAATGCATATATATACAAAGTATATTAGTATTAGTTGTAAGGCAATGAATTCTTATAAATTGGTCTGTTATTGTACCTTCTGTATTCTTTTGCATTTTGCAGATTGGGCTACATTTTGCATGTGATTTTTATTATATACATTTTATATATGTAAATGTGAAATAATCTTTTTATTTTCTTCATCTAGAATATTACCATTAAGTCCATTCCATCTACCTTCATCAGATTTCAAGAAGTGCTCGCTCCCCACAGGTGAAGATTTTGGTCCCAAACAGCACAGCTGGGATGATCATTGGGAAGGGTGGCACTTACATCAAGCAGATCAAGGAGGAAAGTGGAGCATACGTTCAGATCTCTCAGAAGGCCAAAGATCAGTCTCTGGCTGAACGGTGCATCACAGTCATCTGTGAGTCCGTTTTTCCTGCTATTCACTTTTTGTATAGGCCTAATTTATGTTGCATAGTGACAGTCATAGTTTTTTCATTTTTCGGGGCAAGATGGTTTGGTTTATGCTTGTTGGTTATAGTTTATTAGTGCTTCTGATATATTTAAGCACATGCATTTTTAGATTGTAATACATTCATTTTGAATAATGAATGTATTTTTCTTGGCAAAGAATGGGAATTGTAATGAGCTTATTTAACTTCGTAAAAAACAAAGTGAGCTAAGATGTCTTCCATATTGACCAAAAAGAATTAGTTAAACCTCTCAAACCAGAATGCTTATAAATATAATATTTAGGTTTGTTGACCTGTCTCATTGGAATGGTAAGCCTGAGATTCCTGGTCTGTTGTCATCTTGTGGCCAGTACTGTATATGCACAAATTACTGCTATGCTTCATATGTGGATAAATAAAGTTGCACACACTTGTAAGATGTTAAAGCTGCACAACCACATAATTGTTGTATATGAAGCACTGAGGAATTGTAACTAATACCAAATTATTTTGAGAAAAGGAAATTTTAGTTCTGTAGTGTTTTTAAATTATAGATAGATGGTTTGGTGTACCTTTTCAGATTTTATCTAGTGTGCAAAATATTTATGCAATTTGATTGCAGAAAACTCCTTAAACCATTGTCATTCTTCCATTTTTATGTAGTTTTGAAGTTTGATAATGGTCTTTGGTAATTCTGCCCATGAGAAATGTTCACTGTATTGTCACACCCGAATGCTTCAGGTCCTGGCTGCTTATTGGCTGCCTTTTTATTTTTTTAGTTTATGGTTTGCATGAATTATGCACTACAATTTATCTTCTGTATGACTTTTCATGTTCAATTGTGATGATGGGAGTTCTCATTAGTTTGGAATGTCATCTCATTATTTAAAGCATGTTTTATCTAATATATTTTTTCATTATAAGTGTAAATTAAACATATTAGAAAAAATATTTAGTTAATGAACAAAATGGGATATGAATAAGTTCTAGGACAGAGAAAAAGATCTGTGTACTAGTAAACTATGCTTTATTTGCTTTTTATGCAAATCGTTCATTTAGTTTTGGATGGATGATAGTCCAGAATAGACATAGGGAAAGGTTATTATTGATTGGCAGTGAAATTATTGGGTTGTTACTCCAGAGGAAGACCAGTCATTAAAAATTTGGAACTAGTATCTTACGTAAAGTAAAAAAATTAGAGTACTTAAAATTTTGTTGGTAATGATAATACTAATGGTGATACTAGTGATGATAACGACATTGAAGATTGATGGTAGTTTCTGTGAATCAATTGATATAAAGGTAAAGTAGAACTGGATTGAAATTTATCAGAAACGGATAAGTCCACTATAAATCAATTCATCATGCAAATTAACCTGTAGCCGACGGGTGCCATGTAAGTACTTGCCATGTAAGTACTTG